TGGGGGAGAATACAGTAACTTGGATAGACTCTAATGTTTCATCTCCAAAGACTAAGAATTTAGTTGCAACTAAATTGCCCCATAGAACTTTATAACACCAAGGAAAATAGCTTTTTAAGAGAAAGCCCAAATTTCTTCAGTACCAAGGACTTTCAACACTGCTTTTAAAACAACTCTGCTCTGATCAGCCTCAACCAGCTAACCTTTGAATCACACTCATCACCCACAAAAGGGAACATTGTGGCAGAAGAACCTCACCTCGAAAACATTAACTCTCAAAGACAAGAACCTGAAAGTTTAGAGCAAAAAGTCCCTAACTCAAAACACAGCTAATGTGTACTTCACTTTGGCCCAGGGATGGATTCAAGGTCTCTTTTGTACTATCCAGAAACTTGATCTGAACAGGTTTACCTATCCTCTCTGGATCTCAGTGTACTTTTCTGCTATATAAAAGTATTGGACTAGTTCTCCCTCTTCCAGGAAAGAATATGTACCTAAATTGCAGCAGGTAACTTAAAAGTAATCTTCTTCAACTATCTCAGTGCATGATTCACATTCAAATCTACGGCTTCGTTATAACTCAGCCTTGCCTCTGCAGTAAAGCAGGCAATGCGGGGACCACTGCTTGGCAACTGAAGTCCCACAAATGATAATTACAGTAAGATAGCAGACAATGTTTACTGAACACTCACTGTGCCAAGCACTGCGCTGGACATTTCACACGCATCAGCTCAGTTAATCTCTTCTCTTGAGGAAGAAGTTCCACTACCTCTACTTCACAGATGAAAGCAAAAATCAAGTAACTTGCCCAGGGGCAACACACAGTTGTCGAGGCACTGCCAAGATCTGAACTTGGGTTTGACGATTCTCATAGCCCAAGCTCTCACAGTCTACTCTATATGCTTCTGAAAGAAGCCGGAAATTAAAAAGATGACTATAACTGACACAATCACAGGCCACAGGTGAGGGAAAGATCCCTGATTCATAACGGAGGAAACTGAGGCTCCTGAGATAAAATGACCAGCTCGACCTTAAACCACCTTCTTAACCACAGAGACAGGGCATTCAGCCTCCCGACAACCAGTCTTATGTGTCTCCTACTTCACTACATCATGAAGGTGATCACTCACAGGGTTTATCATTACCCTGACCTCTCATTTGGGTAAACACTACCTCAAAGTACGTCTACATCACAAAGCATTCACTGTAACTTATGAATTTTGGGGTATCTTTAAAATTGATTTTTACAATGAAACTAAAGCATAGCAAATAATGTGTTCAAAGAGGTACATAGAACCACCAGTAAGAAATGAAAAGCACGTCAAGACACCCTGTTCAGAAAAATTATTCCACGTTAAAGCATAACACATTTTATTAATACAAGTCAACTCTGAAGTGACGGTTGAGCCAATGACAACCACAAATTTTCTATTCTGATTAAATATACTGGATTCAATGTTCCAAACACAGGGTGCATGTTTAAAGGGCTATTACCTCAAAAATATTTACCATTAACATTTCCTCTTCTGTAAGAGTCTTAGTTTTACTATTAGTGAACTGTGATACTGAAAACCAGCACAGATAGAAGTTGACAGTAATAACACATGCTGGGACTTCCCTGGTGGCACAGTGGTTAAGAATCCGCCTGCCAATGCAGGGGACGCAGGTTCGAGCCCTGGTCCAGGAAGATCTCACACGCCGCGGGGCAACTAAGCCTGTGTGCCACAACTACTGAGTCCACGTGCTGCCAACTACTGAAGCCCGTGCGCTTAGACGTAGCCCATGCTCCGCAACGAGAAGCCACCACAATGAGTAGCCCCCACTCACCACAACTAAAGAAAGCCTGCATGCAGCAACAAAGACCCAACACAGCCAAAAATAAATAAATTTTTTAAAAAAATAAAAAATAAAAATAAAAGAAACCAAAGACGACTCAGCATACACTACAGCACTGAGTATGGAAAGATATCTGGACCCCCACATGAGAACAAAAACTAAGGTAAAGATATGGAACTGCATTCTGGTCTTGTTTTTAAATCTAACTGATAAAACTTGTTCCATCATTATAAACACAGATGTTATTTTAACTACCAAGTTCTGATCCAGTGATCCAGTTTAGGTCTTCGTTAGATAATAAGAACTGAATCAGCATTTTAGGATGGCAGTGCTCTATCCACTTCACTCACTACTTGTGAGGGATGACGAATCTTCTTTGGGCTATACAGGGAGTATCAGGTGGATCTAGTTTCAACCATTCGCTTTTAAAGCTAAATAGGGTCAAGTTGGGATACTGTGGGTAAATAAAATCTGACCTTAAAAAAAATTAAAATCAACTTCTTCCACTCATACACCTTTACAGAGATAGTTTTTTAAAAAAGCAGTTTCCTGATGAGTTTCACACTTACCGGTCTGTTCAAATTTGTAAAAATAAATAAATAAACAAACAAACAAATATTCAAAACTCAGGCAGGGAAAAAAAAAAAACTAACAATCACAATCTCAATTCCATATTATTCCTAACTTGTACTCATGGAAGGAAACTGTCTTAAGTCTAAAGACCGAAAAAAAATTTTTTTGCCATGAAACAAAATTGGTGTATCATTTCTATTCCAAAATGGAAGTCTCCCCATCCCTTAGATTTTTTTAAAATTAATTAATTAATTATATTTTTGGCTGCGTTAGGTCTTCGTTGCAGTGCACTGGCTTCTCATTGCAGTGGCTTCTCTTGTTGCAGAGCACGGGCTCTAGGCGCGAGGGCTTCAGTAGTTGTGGCTCACAGGCTCTAGAGCACAGGCTCAGTAGTTGCGGTGCACGGGCTTAGCTGCTCCACAGCATGTGGGATCTTCCTGGACCAGGGCTCGAACCCATGTCCCCTGCATTGGCAGGCAGATTCTTAACTACTGCGCCACCAGGGAAGCCCCGTCCCTTAGTTGTTTTTTTTTTTTTCCTTAGGTTTTAAGTTAAATGAGAACACACCTAAAAAAATAAATCAGTAGGAAACAGTAAAGTCCTACAATTTCCAGCCATACCTAGGAATTCATCCCACTGCTCAGATTGGCAAAACAGGGTTTCAAATTATTTCATACCAGTTAGATTCCTTTCCAGATTAAAACAAACACAAAATACGAAATGTTAATGCCAAGACCCAATCAACTGGCAGTAAGACCATGCAGCAAAACATTTACAGTGTTTTACTTTTTAGAATGGCAGGTCTCTAGCAAATTTATGCTTGCATCTATTCCATCGAAACTGCAAGGACAGCTCAAAATATGATCCTATTACATGCGCTGTTTCAAAGAGAACAACTCCAAAGAAATCAGGCTCATTCCTAACAATGCTGAGCTAGACATCAATATTTAGAAGAATGTCAGAATTCTAATTCTTGCTGTTGCCATCAAATATACCCTTTTCTTTAGTCACATCCAACATATTTAAATAAAGCTTTCAAAACAAATATAAACAACATGTACCAAAAAAATGACCAACTTACTAAAAGATATATACAAGTTGATTTTTTTAAATATGTGGGGGAACTTGGTGACAAGCTTTGCTTTATGTTCTGTGTATTAAAACAAAGATGGACTTGACCTACAAAATGAAGATAGGGTCAACTGTATCCAAAAAACAGTATGCTTCCCCTGGTGGCCAACCATGGAATGGAGAAGGCATGCACAGAAGAGAAAAAGCCTTGTCTCGGAGTTCCATCCTGTCACTCTTATAAATGAGAAGTGACTACCAAAAAAGGAAGACGCGGGGGAAGGGGAAACTATCAAAAAGACTAACATAAGTTAAAAGGAATACAAACCTGGGCGGTAGACTACATATACTTTAAGAGATTTAAATCAACAGACTAAAATGTAGAAGGCAAATACGGGAAAGGTCATTTATTTCCAGAGTGCCCAAGAGCTCACTCAGGGATCCCTATGTATTTTCACTTCAAACAACACCCAGAGTTTCATACCTAAATAACAGCTTAAGAGCAATCGCCTTTTTCAAGGGCTAGATCCTTGCAATTTTCTGCAGTCTTGTTTCCAAGGAAAAGCATTTATGCATTTATCTTCTCAAACTCGTGGTATAACCTACATAGAGAACCTTCAGTTCTAAAGCCCTCCAACCAGGAGGACTGTTAACTCCAGTTCCACAAGGTTCTCTTTTGAGTTTTATTTCTGAAAGAAAACCCACGTCCTTTCAAACATTTTCCATGCCAACAATCTTTTAAAGATAATCTTATACGGAGACAGGCTAGAATCTCACTGACGAATTCCTTTGTCTGATTGGATTTTTCTGGTACTTTAAATCTGCTTCCACACAGAAGAGCAGCAAGAGTAGCAAATGTTCCAAGCTAGGGGGTAGGGATTTCTTGGAGGCGGACATCATTTGTTAGGCTAAAGCTTCTGAAGGTTCTAATCTTTCACAACCCGTTCCTTAAAAAAAAAAAAAAAAAAAAAAAGCGGGGGGTGGGGGCGGGAATACACACACATTTACAAATAGGTCCTAAAATCAAACTGCCACCAGCCAGTCTCTCTTCCCCGGGCAGGCGCCCTCTGGGAAGCACACTTCTTTTATTAACTGGTTTTGGGAGATCTCAAGACGGGAGGGGAGTCGGGGCCAGGCAGGAGTCCAGGGGCGGGCAGGACGAGGAAAGGTCATGCTGGGCAACCCTCCGCAGGGGAGAAACGGGTCCGAGGACGTCCCAAGCCCAGGCGCTCGCAGGACGCTAACTCTCCGGCGCGGCCGTCCCTGCCCGGCCCCGGCGCGACTCGTGCCGACCCGGGGACGCCAGAGCCCCCGGGCCAGGTGGCCAGGTGTGGCTGCGCGCCGCCGCCTCCAATCCGACCCGCCGCGTCGACCGGGGCCTCCCCGGGGGCAGGCACGCCAGCAGGACACCCTTGCGCGGGTGTCTCCCCGCGGACAGCAGGACCCACACAGGCAAAAAGAAAGTTGTCCGAGGCCGTCCGCCCCCTCGGGTCGCCGGCCGGCCGGGCTGGGGCGCTACTCACCGGGGTCGAAGTCGGGCACCACCGCCTGGTACTGGGGTCCGACCCGCATGCCACCGCCACCTGCGGGGAAGCAGAGAGGAGGTCAGCGGGCGGGCGAGCGGGCGAGCGGGCGAGCGGGCGGGGGCGGCGCGGGCGGCGCGGGCGGCTGCCACTTACCGTGCTCCTCGTCGCTGGACGAGCCCGAGCTGCCTTCCTCCCAGGAGTTGCTGCTGCTGTTGCCATTGGGCGCCGCCGCCGCCAAACTTTTATTCTGCCCATTATTGGGGGCGGCGGCGGCCGAGGCGGAGGCGGCGGTGGCCGAGGAGGCGGCGGCGGCCGAGGAGGCGGCGGCGGCGGAGGCGGCCGAGGCGGCGGCGGCCGAGGCGGCCGCGTTGTTCCTCCCTCTCCGCTTCCCTGAGACCTCGGGGCCCTTCTCCACCATGGCCGGCATCGGCGGGGGCCCGGACCGGGCGAAAGTGGCGGGGACCCGCGGCTCCTGAGGAGGGGGCGCC